CCGCACAAGCACTCTACTTCGAGTCACGGTCTCGCTCGGACGCGGTCTCCTCTCCTCCCGTGGGCCACCCTCAAGGGACCCTGTCGTTTTGGGCCTAACGACTACCTGGGTCTACTTCAACACAAGCCAGCCACTTCACGCTACGCTACCAAACCCCTGACAATTGCGGCGGATGCTGCTTTTTTCAGGCTTGCGACACAAATGATACCTTCAAGAAGAACATCCAGCTCAGCAGCTCCCTAAAAAAAACCAGTAAGTACGCCACGGGTAATTCTTTCCCTTTCTTTTTCTTTCCCATATGCGCATGCCGTTATGCTTTTCAATAAGTGCAGTTGTTTTTTTCTAACATCTGAACGTGTCTGTCCTAGTTTTTTTTTTTTTTTTTTTCACTCGCTCTATTATCTACCATGTTTCTTGAAATTTCCTCGTCATGGTAGATTGTCTTTATTTCATTTGGGAGAGTAGTTATTTCGGCGTGTTTTATTTTATTTTATCTTTTTTTGTTTATTTATTTATTTATTTTTTGCTTTGCTTTTTTCTAACTCGGTCATGCGTAACATAAGCTAAGATTCGTAGTGATTACATAATCTTTCATCATATGGGTATATTCATGCGTGCATTTTTCTTAAAATCAATTTCCTTTCTCGAATGCTTTATGCCCGCGTGAGTATAGACGATAAATATTTCCATACTCTAAGCAAATTTCCTTATCATCTTTATTCCCCACTGCGTTAACCAATGCACATTGACGTATATTTCGTAATTTATTGTTGTTCAGCATATTTATTTCGGCTTGGTTTAGTTATGTATCAATGGGATAATTTTGAAAATACTTAGAACTTGGTGGAATTATCCGGAAATGAACAACTTTTTCTCTTTCCACATCTCCCCAGCTACCCTAGTTCCCAGCTTTCCTTCTCTTCTTAAACCCCTCCCTCCAAATTTCCCCTCTCTCTCTACCTAATTCCAATATATCTGTTCGGGTCACTAGCATATTATTTTAGTGTCGTGATATTTGTTTGAAATGCGGTATATTTTGCAAGAGTGATTCTCATCTGCCTTCACACATGCCATTCACAATCGATTTTCGACCGCGTGTGACCTGTCTTCCTGACCTTTCTGTCCGTGTGATTCGTTATTTTGGTGTTAAATTTCAAACATTTGAGATTTCTTTTCTTTATACTTGCCGTGTATATGTTTATACAAACAACGTGATTTGCTTAATTCGTATTTTTCATTTCTATGATTTCGCATAGTAGTTGATTTAATGTTGTAATTACCGTATAGTAGTAACTATATTGTCACAGTTATGAATGTATATATTTTTTTTTTTTGTGTAGTTTGATCGGTATATGTTTCCCTTGCACAGTAAGATTTTTCCACCCTCGCTTACCACGCCCCCATCCTCCCCCATACCCCCACCCCTGCCCCTATTAACCATAACCGCCCGCCCACCCTCTCGTCCTCCCTTTCGCTTATCTATTTCAACTTGCACACCATTCTAATTCTTACTTACTCTCACTCCTTTATCTATTTACTAATGATTCTGATTCTACTCTGATCCCTGTTATATTTTCTACTCGTGCGCTATACTCTGACGTACTCATTTAATACCTCTCACTCGTTTATTCACTCACTCAACTCGTCTATTTACCACTTACCTCACTCATTCAGCCACATACACACGTTAATTGCAGAAGAATTACATATACGTATAGTTCAGAGTAGCAATTGTTTTGCGCCAGTCTTGTATTACGTTTATCATGCGGTATGTAGTCGTGAGCAAGCATAAATGGTGTAATAGGTCGCTCTTGAATGAATATGAGGACTGCATTTCCGATTTTCATTGTTGCTTTGCCTCGATTTGCTGATGGTGTCCGTGGTAGACAAATTCTATGAAACGAGAAAAAAGTTACGCATTTCGTATAAGTCGGATGTATATTGTATGTACTATTTCACAGTATGCTGTTGACCTTCGCATTGTTGCATTTTTCTTTTTTCTAGGTAAGTTTGTCGTTCAAGATTGTCTTTGCGGACGGGACTTTTCCTTCCGTACATTAAGCATAATGCTTATGTCTTGTAGACATTTGTCTCCACACTCCACACACTCGCTCTGCGCCACGCATTCAGTGACTCTGGAGAAGAGACTGCAGTTCTTACTTCCTCAATTTTGTCCCCTGCCTGAGCATAGCAAGTCCAAGTTGCTGTCCCGTCGAGGACGACGGGTGGGTGCGTGTCCAAGCGGTCTGAGATTGGTCAAACGCATTCAGTGTCACGTCCTACAACTAGCAGGGGTGTCCAATGAGGGCGGCGTGCCCATGGCACTGCCTCCGTATTGACCTAAGCCACACCCACATCTCCCATGACCTTTTCTTTCTTTGTAGATGTGTATAATGCCTACCTCTTGAAGAATTTCATCTCTATCTATCCTGAGAAGTTGAAACTCAAGCAAGTCTTTGCGGTCTATTACAATTGTCTTCCGAAGCATGTTCCTCTGTCTATTTGTTGAATCATTTTTAAAAAATGACTATAACTTGAAAATTCAATATAAGAACCTTGGATATTAGTCTTACATATGGCCCTTATTGTCACCCCCCCCCCTTTCGTCCTCCTGTCTCTGCCCTTGGTGTACTGATTAAAAAAAATGTCGGAGCCCCTAAGCGAGCAGTGACGCACCCTGCCAGTACACACACGGAGCACCGGCCGACGTAGGACGCGAACAGGAGAAACACGTATGGGTCCAGCGCCGACACATCAGCGATACACTCGCTCTGCGCCAGGCATTCAGTGACTCTGGAGAAGAGACTGCACCTCTTACTCCTTTATCTTTGCCCTCTGCCTGAGCATAGCAAGTCCAAGTGTCACACCCTCCAACTAACAGGGGTCTTCAATGAGGGCGGTGTGCCCATGGCATCGCCGCCGTGTTGACCTAAGCCACGCCTACATCTCTCATGATCTCTGACCGTCACCTTGACCCATACAAGCACTCTACTTCGAGTCACAGTCTCGCTCGGACGCGGCCTCCTCTCAGGGGCCACCCTCCAGCGCCCCTGACATTTCAGGCCCAACCGCTACCCGGGTCTCCTTCAGCACTAGCCGGAAATTTGGTATCTCCACCCTCCGCTACCAACCTCCCTCACCATCAATAGACACTGCAACCAGACCGTGAGTTTAAGTCAACCAAATCCCTAACAAAGTGGTAGACAGCAGTGGTATCAAGACCCTCACACTCTCTCTCTGTCCGTTGATAAAAAATGAGGAAAAAGTACATACAGATGTGACAACCATTACTTTAATATTCTAAAGGTTCAGAAATAAGGAGGAAGTAAACAGGGAAGTTTACATTTAATCACGTCTATTCATTGAATTAGGTTAACTGTTAGTTAACTGTTAAAATTAGAATTAAAGTTATCTTTTGTAGTCGATAGCAGGGCTGTACTAAAGAATAAATAAATAAGTAAATAAGTTGATCCATTGATTAATAGAAAAAGTAATAGAAAACTAAAAGAATCTAAAAATCAAAACCCCCTCCCCCTTCGTCTGGTGTTCCCCAGCCTCTTCGTCTTGTTTCCGACCTAGAAAATTTTACTTTCAGATTCGTCAGGCATTGGTAGGAATGGAGATGCTTGAAATTCACTTGAGTACGAAAGATAATTTATATCACTTCTCTATAAAAGTTGTTGTGAAATAAAATATACGTAAAATGACTACAAGTACGGACCAACGGTTTAAAATTAATAAATATTACGTGCATTCCATTTTCGGATTGAGGGAGAGAGCATTGAACAAGCAATAGGCACCGGAATAACTCATATCTTATTACTTAACGTTTAGTGAACATTATATTTAAGATAATTATGACAATAATCACAATACAATATCCAAACATATGCCTTATATCGCTTCCAGGTCCCCTCTAACCCCGGCTTATTGACTTGCTTCCCCTTTCCTTTCCTTTTAGCCTGGACACAACGAATACTTTGTCATCTATTGGTAACATGTGACTGTAGACGGATGCGCTCCTGTGTGTCCAGCTCACCTATCCAAAATTACTCGTATAGTAGTAATTTAAATGTCTATGAAACATAAATAACAAATTGTGATTGATTAAATTTTGGATTGAATATGTACATTGGAGGGAAACCACTACCTGTTTCAATATACTGACCATAGCCAAGTATTTCAGTTTATTAACAGTTTTATGAAAATCTCTTTTTGTGATCTGAATCATGGGGCAATGTAAATACAATACAATGTAAATTTCCTACATGTTTCAATCTATCCCTAATATATCTAAACACGAGCGAAAGTTTCACTGCCGATCATAGATTCGTCCGCGAGATATATATATATAGAGAGAGAGTCTTTCACACTCAGTGGGTAGTGGACGTTGAATGGCGTGCCCTGGATGTTGGCGAAATCCTTGGGGCGGCAGGTATAGTATGTCAGAGTGTCAGTCATGTCAGTTTCATTGTAGTCTGACATTGGAATGAATTAATTATTTCTATGTCCACATATCCTACACAGAAGATTTTTTTTGTTCATTGTTTAATTCTTTTCAATACCATAGACAACAAATACAAAGCACAGACCTGCAGGGCCTGTACGTGTACTGTTTCTAAAAGCTCTGCCGTCTTATTGACACGTGTGGCACGTTGGTACATCCATGGAATATATAAGGAGGTCTTGGTTGCCAGATATCATTACTTTGTTTATATTCCTTACATTCTTTACTGTGAGCCACTGCGAGTTTATCACGTACTAGTGTTCAAAGTGAACAGATTTGGGCCCTTAATAATGTGGCTCTAATTGCCTTTTAGAAGCGGGACATTCCATTGAAGTTTACCCTTAACATTCCTTGTGAGTAGCTGATGATGCGACTCATGCTTTGATTCCAGATCCGATAACTGCAGCAGAGGCCTCTGATGCTGAATATATACATGCATACCTATTTAAGTATACATATATATATATATATATATATATATATATATATATAT